ACAAGGGAGATATAGACCACAAAGAAACTGGAATTAAAAAAACAGAAAACAAAAAATAAGCCCCCAAACAAGATGTCTGAGTATTCCCAAATACTTCATTTGGGAATCCAGGAGCCTATTGCACACTTGCAGAAAAGTGAAGTTCTTCATGGCTCTTCCTGATACTTACCTCACAAAAGATGTGGTACAGAATATAATGGCAGATACTAGATACCAATTTTGCAAATATTGGGTCAATGCAATAAATCACTCAGTCCAGAATTGAAAACTGGGGTTTGGCATTAGGTAAGGTCATTCTTGAGATGTGAACACTAGACAAGGTCTTTTCAGAGCATGTGGACATATAGGCAAGACTTTGTGTGAGGAGTAAGGACATGATGTAGACCTCAGATTCATTACTCTGGATTTAGAAAGATTAATATATTGATATACTTCTTCCTGGACAGTTGCTACTTTCACATTAGCAAAATAAGTACAAAGGAATTGTAGTCATCCCTCAGCTCAGTTGGGGGGATTTATTCCACCATCCCTGTGGATACCAAAATCCATGAGTGTTCAAATCCCTTTAAAAAGTCATGGTATTTGCTTAACCTACTTACATCCTCTTTATACTATAAATCTTCTCTAGATTTCTCATAATACCTAACAAAACATAAATGCTTTGTAAATAGTTGATCTATTGTTTGGGAAATAATGAAAAGGAATAAATCTCTAAATGTTCAGCAAATATGAAGTTTCCTGAAAATGAGTTTTGATTTGTGGTTGGTTGGATCCTCAAATATGGAACCTGTGGAGCATGTAGTTGTTGGTAAATGAAAGAGACTTTAAATTGAGTTTGAAATTGAATACATATTTCAAGCTGTTCTACTTACATATAAATTCAATTATTCAGTCAAACTATCCAGCTACTTTTTAAATAGTTGACCCATTGATCTAAACGCAAATATAGCATAAATGATTGATCCACAGACCTGACTTTGCCCAGAAAGGTAGGTGAAGCATCTGAACTAAATGGGGAGGAAACCTTCTGAGACGTGACAAATGATGTCTATACAGTACTGAGAAGGTAACATCACAGCTTCCCAGATGGATCCAGCCCCTAACCATATCTACAGTTACATTCCATCTGTTCAGATGACAGTAAGTTTAATGTGTTTGAGCATAGTTTAATAATATCCTTAGGTTTTCCAATTTCAACTCCTCCTACACAGTATTCAGCTTTTAAAAAGAATACAATGTAGGTTGATAGAATAAGTTGCTAATTTAACAAGGCAAGCTAAGTACAATCTTTAATTTTGCTCATATTTTATACCCTTTATGTGGTTAGTAGCTCTAATAAGAATCACTGCAAACAATCCATGATGGAAAAATAAGGGTGTTCAGACCTGGGCCAGAGTCTCTTTGGGAAGAACTGTGTCATGGTGCCAAGGAAATGGATATAGATTTTAATGATGGACTCCATGTAAATGCTCTGAAGACATCATCAGTGGAGGTGCCAATTTATGTTAGCTGTAGTGAACATAGGGCCATGATAGAGAATAATTGATTCTGCATTTTACTCTCCTGATCTCTCTACACTTTTATAGAGTGCAACCCTTAATGAAACTTCCTGAAAAATTCATTCCATGGGAGAGATCAAATACAATTAAATAAAGAGAATGCAATGACATAAGGATGTATGATCAAGCAAATGGGAAGGGTATGATGACGGATATGTTTGTTCAAAGCATATTGAATGCATACAGGGACAAGTCAAAAATGAAGCACCTTTCTGTAATTAATTAATGCTAATAAAATATGGACAATACAAATAAAGAAATCATTTTCATTATGAAAAACTTCATACTTGAATTTTCATAGAGTCCTATACTCTCTGGCCCATTTACACAAAGTATTGTTTCACATAGAAATCTTCTTTACAAACAACATATATTCTTATTTGCAAATATTTAAAAATAGATCCATAAAAGATAAAGACTCTGCAAAGATGATTATAAAATTATAAGTGAAGTGTGAGATTCATGCTCATTCTTTGATGCTACCTATATCAAAATTTGATATCTAAAATTTCCCAATTATTTTACAATTTATTTCTAGCTAATTTACCAAGAATCTCAATAAGGAGTGCATATTGCAATTAGTTGAGATGTCACTTAAATATCTTTTCATTAATAGATATCCACCCTCATTTTTGCCTTTGTAATGTGTTTATTAACAAGGTCTACTCGCTTGTCCTAACGGGATTTGGACATTGGCTTCTTGCTGTATTACTCATCATTCTGTTGTTCTCTGCATCCATCCACTGGGAATAAACACACAGATCCACAGAGTAAATAATTTCAAATTTGATATTTAAGAAAGACTGTGCCACAACACTTGGACTGTACATCCCATAGGAATCATATTGCTAAGTCGTTTCTCCTCTTGTGATGTTGGTAGCCCTTTGATAAATGTGGTCTAGATTTATTAGTTCATTAGAAGTAAAATTCAGTAGAGGTAGACTGAGACCTTTAGGGCAGAAATGGAGCTCTGAAGTACAGCTGGGTGAGCTTTGACTTACTCGTTATTTATTTATTTATTTATTATTTATTACTCTTTATTTATTATTTTTTATTTAATTTTATTGTAAGATGATGTACAGAGGGGTTACAGTTACATATGTAAGGTATTGAATACATTTCTTGTAGAACTTGTTATCCTCTCCCTCATTTTTTCTTCCACTTACCCTATTCCCCAATCCCCCAAGTTGTAGTTCATTTCCAACATGTTGTCTTGTGAGTATCACTGTTGCATTGGTTCACCCTTTGTCCTTTGTCTCACCATTTTGTTGTTCCCCTTCCCCGCCCTTCCCTAATTCAGATAAACATATATACAATACTCTCTATGGTTCCTGGAGTGTTCCTACTCCCTAGAGATTGCTGGCATATCTGTCTAATGTCCCACAGGAGCTTTAGTCTTCCTGGATAATTTACAAATGGCTTTTGTGTTGTTGCATTTTTCTACAATATTCTTAGAAAGACTTATCAATTCCAATGAATGGGGGATTTCAGACAGTGATGGAAAGTAAGCCTGTGTCCTGAGACCACCAGACCCTGACTTGGTTCTAGGAGTCTTGAGTTTCTGCAATGAAACTATTATAGCTCCTTTAGCTGTGACTAATCTGCAGAGCTGCCTTATGGGGGGAAAGAGAATAGATCTTCTTCCTTCTTCCCAAATATACATTTAAATATTTGAATCCAATGAAGCAAATTATGGAAATATAATCTCATACTCATATGCTTTATAATTATTTATATACATATTTATATGTGTATATAAATCTTCTTTTTTTGCTGGCAATGGGAACTTGAACTCAGGATCTTGAGCTTGCTTTACTTGCTTACACTAAGTTGGTACTCTGCTACTTGAACCTTACCTCTAGCCAGGCTAGTTAATTAGAAATTGACTGTCATGGACTTTTCAGCCTGAGCTGGCTTTGGACCTGGATAGTCCAGGTCCAATACCAGGTCCATCTATGTAGTGAATTATAGGAGTGAGCCACCAGCAGCAGGCACTAGTTTATAAACGCCATTTATTTACACATTTCTAACTTTAAACCTTAGTATTCTTTAGTTCTGTAGAATAAATGTAGTTGTATACATGGTATGCAACTGAAGTAGATTATATAAAATTCTCTCAGCTACCGTTTTCTTGTCTGGGATCAATAATTATTCACATCTATGTTCTTTTAGGCATAACTTTTTTTAGGCATAACTTTTGACAAATAAGAATATATAATAACAGACTGATTCACTTGTACTTTCTTTTTTTTAAAAAAAAAAGAGACAAGAACATTATATTTAGTATTCTAAAGGTAGATTTCAGGTAGTTCAATGATTATGGTAACACCAACTGCTCACATACACACACACACACATAGATTTTAATGGTTTAAAAAAAACCAAATTTGTTACTTTTAGAAAAATGAATGCAGTGCATTTTCAGCAATATTATTGCCACAGACTCTGATTCCTCAGTCCACATATAAGTAGTAGTTGCCTTCTATGGTGGTATGACTTCTCTTCACTAGTTCTCATCGGGTGAGAAACATTAGGGCAGGGTAAGTACAGACTGAATTGTTGCACAAAGGAACATTTACTCATCAGATCCCACCGATCTCTTCTGTGCCCGCTTCCGAGGCAGCCTTCTTGGTGAAGCTTTATTGATTTGATTCAGTTTCCTGAGGAATCCAACTCATGTCAACATCATTTTGACTTGATGTACCCATTTCTACTTTCTGTATGGGTCTCTTGCACTTTCTAGATTCTAGGAGTTGATGAAGGCCAACAACAAGCAGATGTCCAAGACCAGCAAGGAACATATACATAAAGATTGTTTCTCCATCCAACCCATCCTCTCTTTCAATAACTATAACTGTTTGATTGAAAACAGCATCTTGGAACACATTGCCATTCAAATCCTTGTAGTTCAAATTGATGACCAGACCAAAGGGCCTTCCACCCATGGGCTCTGCAGGAATGAAGGAATACTCAAAAGTTGCCTGTCTTTGGGGCTGCACTACAGTGTTCAGAGGAAAAGCTGTCAAATTCTGGATGTAAAACTGGTAGTCCTGAGGATAATGGAACGAGGCATCTAAGGATTCAACAATAAAATCTTCTGTACCCTTGTTTGTGAAGCCTACCAGGAACTTCACAATATTATTTGCTGGAAAATCTTCTCCTTTTACAAACAAGATAGTTGTATCTGCACTTGGTGAAGCTTCAGGTTCACCAGACACATCTTCTTCCTCTTTATCTTCTGCCTGCCCGGCTGCTCCGGAGCAACACGGTGGCGGGAAACACCAGCAAGAGCAGCAGAAGCAGGCGTGGGAGAAGTCTCATGGCGCGGCCGGTCCAGTGTCCAGTCGCGTCCACGAGTGTTCTCCGCGTCTCCGGCAGCAATGGCGTTACTCTTCTCACTTGTACTTTCTTAATATGAAAATTGCATCAGTTGTCATATACTTATGGTTCTTGATTGCTGTGAGAAAATAGAATAGAAAAGCATAAAGAAAAGCAAGGCACAATCCCTTATAATTTTGCTACCTAAATATCTTTGTGAAAAAATTACACATTCAAGTTAGTGCAAGGATTCAGTGAAGATGTGGCAATGTAGACACAACAGATACTCAAAATAAATATACCACATGTTAGACTAGCTTGTGAAAGTCTTCAACTGCTGGGAAATGATGTGTGGATGCTGAATACTATTGGCTAGATGACAGAAGAAGATTAATTACCCTGTATAAGAAAAAAATTAGAGGGCTGGGAAGGTGGCTCAGTGGTAGAGCGCTTGCCTTGCATGCATGAGACTCTGGGTTCAATTCCTCAGCACCACATAAGCAGAAAAAAAGAGCCAGAAGTGGCGCTGTGGCTCGAGTGGTAGAACGCTAGCCTTGAGGTGAAGAGCTGAGGGATAGCACCCAGGCCCAGAGTTCAGGCTCCACGACTGGACACCCCCCCCCCGAAAAAAAAAAAAAAAAGAAAAAAGAAAAATTAGAGCCGGGCGCTGGTGACTCACGCCTGTAATCCTAGCTACTGAGGAGGCTGAGATCTGAGGATCATGGTTCAAAGCAAGCTCGGTCAGAAAAGTCCGTGAGACTCTTATCTCCAACCACCAGAAAACCAGAAGTGGTGCTGTGGCTCAAGTGGTAGAGCACACGTCTTAAGCTGAAGAGCACAGGGATAGTGCCCAAGCCCAGAGTTGGCCTCATGACTGACCAAAAAGAAAAAAGAAAAGAAAAATTTAGAGACAGATGTGTGGAGCACATGGGCAGCAAAGATGGCACTGGGAGGGGGTTGAGTGGGCAGAGCAAGAAGAGAGACATGGCTCCTATACACAGGAATCGAGAGCGGCAGTGCGACTGGGAACATGAACAAGGATGGTCCGAGTACGAATCACTTTCATCGTCACTGGAGCAATGGTAGAAGATGCCTTTGACCAAACACATACAGGTGCCATATTCCACCATGCTCTCAGCCGAGCACAGGCACTGTTGGTTACAGGCCAGACAGGAAGGAAGGGTCCTGGGAGCCGTGCATTTGCACTTCCCACACTGTTCACAGATGAACTTGTGCTGAGTCAAGTCTTCCTTCAAGGAACCTTTCAAGTCATCCGCAACCAGTTGCTTAGGCTGGATCTGGATAGCCCTGTCAGCCCGATAGCCAGGGATGGGCCTAGTGGGTGGGGACCTTCCCAGGAGTCTTTGCTCAGAAGAGGCACTACTGCTGTTCCCAGAGCTCGCTGCACTTCTGGTGCTGTTGCGTTCCCACATCCTGTGAGGTCACCACCCATCTGCTCAGGGAACTCTCTTTTAATCCCGTGCAGGCCATGCGGTGGTCTGCATTCATCCCTTCCCAGACCAGCAGCTTTACAAACTGATCTCGGAGGTTCCCTGCTGGCAGCTTGCGGTGAACACTCTGTTGGACTCCATCTATGAAATCAGGTAGAGGCTCACCCGGTTTTTGTCTCACTCCTGCCATGGGGGACTCAGTAGGCCCATCATCTAGTTTGTACCACACGGCAAGTCCTGCCTGCCTCACCTGGTCACGGTACAGGCCATGTATTGCTGCCTGTTGGACACCGGTGGAGTACCCTTCCCCTGTCCCTGCTAGCATGGCATAAGTAATAGGTATTGCAGGTTGAGCCTGCCGGTTACTCTCTGCTCGCACTCTGCATTCCTCCTTAAAGAAAGCACACTACTTAATAAACTGAGAACTAGTAAGAACGGCTTTGGCCACATCCATCCAGTCCTTAGGGACACACGGGTGATAGGCAATGTCTTGTAATAGGATCTGGGCCCAGGGAGAGTTTGGGCCATCCTCCGCCACCGCCTTGGGGAGCTCTTTAAGATCCTTAGCTTCCCATGGATACCATTCCAAGGGCCTGTTAGCCCCTGATGCCACATTGATCGGATACGCTTGGGGAAGCAAATCCTGTGGCCGAGAGTCTGGGCTCTTGGGTGGCCCTTCCTTTCCAGAGGAGGTCTCCGAGTAGGTTACTTCCTCAGCCCTTGGTCCCTCCATGTGGTAGGGGTCTAGGTTTTGCAAGTCCTTCTCGCAGGTCTCGTAGGGCGCCGTACCTCCCTTCCAATCAGGGGAATAGGGAGGGGGCCTAGGACCGTCCAGGGCACCTGAGTAGCTGCCTCCACCCCTGCATGCACAGATAGTGTGTTCCCGGTCAAATTTGACCTTTTCCTTTTCCTTTTTACTTTCCAAGTCTTCCTGTACTCTTTCTAGGCCTAATGTTGCCTCCTCCTCCTTCTTTTGTGATATAGCATTACCCATACTTAGGGTTTCACTTACCCCAAAAGACCGCTTAGCCTCGGCCGGTATCTTTTCCTTTCGTGCCCCACGTTGGGCGCCAGATGTTGGGTCTTCGTCCGTCCCACAAAAGACAGATGGGGTCGGAGGAAAGGTAAGTGTGGTGCTCGCCCATTCCCTAGCCTCCCTCAGCCCAGGAGACAATCAGACACAGCGGGGAGCCAAATCCAGCAGGTAGAAAAACTCGTTTATTAACAGAGAGCAGCCCCTTTTAAAGACAAAATGGGTGGGTGGTATGGTAAGGGAGGAAGAGGAACCAATCACTGTCAAGGTCACACCCTATCATTCACCTGAGCCTTCACGGGCTGGTTAGGTACTGATCAGAAGATCAATTGGGGTCTGCCCACTCTACTCTCTCCCAGAGCCATCTTGGCTGGCCATGTGCTCTACAGTAAATTAGGCTCTGCCCACTCAACCCCCTCCCAGCGCCATCTTTGCTGCCCATGTGCTCCACAACAGATGTAAGATCAGAAAAGACTTCAATACCCAGAAGGTGAAGAACAGATGAGCCAAGGAGAAATAGTCATGCAACGTAACAGCTGGAAAAAACATTCCAGGGCTGGTGGAGGATTACTGATGTGTTGCTGAATGATGCATATTTTCTCCCACATGTGGAACCTAGAATTAATTTATTAATATATAAATAAATACTAAGTGTATATACATATATTAACTGAAATACAGTAGAGTCGATGGAAAACTCAAGCCTCAGCTAGGCTAAAACACAGTCCCACAAAATAAATATCAGGAAATGTGTAAATTACTAGGAGTGTGGGACCAACATGTAGGGGGCAGACAAATGAAGAGAGAAAATGCAGGAGAATTCAGTCATAAAATTTAATGCATATTCTATAAAATTAAGAAAATTAAGGGAAGGTGTGGGATTGGGATGGATGGGGGAGAATGATGAAAGGGGTAATACTGATCAAGATGCATTATTTTCATAAACTGTTTTGTTGAATGGCAATTCCTTTGTACAACAACTTAAAAAGAATAAAGAGATACTACTCTCTGCAGGAAGTTTGTACAGTTCTATATGCAGTGCTGTGGAACATCTCATGATGACTTTCATCTTAAAGTCTTACAACACTTTATTTACACTAAAAGTTATCTTATTTTCTAAGTTTAATATTTTATTTTTGATAAACTATGTTCTTAAACACTTTTAGAGTTTCTAAGAATATATTTTCTTTGGACTAGAATATATTTTCTTTGGAAAGAAAATATTCTTTCTAAGAATATATTTCTTTGGTGACTCACACCTGTAATCATAGCTATGCAGCAGATTGTGATCTGAGAATCACATTTCAAAGTTTGGCCACATAAACCAATCTAGAGAATCTTCTCTGTAAAAAAAACAGGTAAAAAGTAATAGAGTATAAGGCCCTGAGTTCAAGCCGAGTACCAACACACACACACACACACACACACACACAGGAATATATTACCTTTAAAAAAGCTACAGCTGAGGAGATACGATTGCAATTGTGTCCCTTCTTAAATAGTATAATAAATGCTTAGTTGTATTATGTTCTTTATTTCTCTGTGTGAGTGTTTGAGTATGTTTGTGTGTGCCAGTCCTGGGGCTTGAATTGGGGCCTAGACACTCTCTCTCAGTTTTGTGCTCAAATCTAGCACTCTATCATTTAAGCCACAGGCTTTTGAGTGGTTCAATGTCAACAAGAGTCTCAAATTTTCCTGCCTGGACTAGCTTCGAGTTGCAATCCTTAGAGCTTTGCCTCTTGAGTAGCTAGGGTTACAGTTGTGAGCTACCAGCACCTGGATATGTTCTTTAAGCATCCTGTACTTAGGGCCTGGTATGGTGGTCCACACAAACTAGTCAGGGGGCAGAGATGGGAAAACTGTAGTTAATGCTAGCTTGATGAAAAGGAGCATGAGACCTATCTGAAAAACAACCTAAATAACAAAAGAATTGGGAGCATTATTCAAGTGTTAGAGTGCTTATCTAGTAATCTCAAGGTCTTTAAATCAATCTCCAATACAAGATACAGATACACACACATACATAAACACACATTCTTTATCTATATTTCAGTGAGTTTATCTAGCTGTAGTCCTAGTGTCATAGCTATGAAGTGATTATTGCAGTTGTGTTGTGCTAATATTTTATTTTATTTTATTTTATTTTTTATTTTTTTGGGTCTGGTCATGGGGCCTGAACTCTGGGCCTGGGCGCTGACCCTCAGCTCTTCAGCTCAAGGCTAGCGCTCTCCCACTTGAGCCACAGCACCACTTCTGGCTTTTTTCTTTTTGCTTATGTGATGCTGAGGAATCAAACCCAGGGCCTCATGTATGCAAGGCAAGTGCTCTACCACTGAGCCACCTTCCCAGCCCCAATATCTGAAGTTTTTAATGTTGACTCCTCAACTAGAAAGCCTGAATATTTGTGGAGAACCCATCCTGTTCTTGCATCCTCAGTGGAACCTGGAGATATACATACATTTATCCTTATATACATTCCTCCAACCCCTTAGGTCAGGAAGGAGCTGCAGCCCTGATCTCTGGCTGAGGGCTGTGCCAGATAGCTTTACATTGACCTCTAATAACTCTTGTCTGGTATTCACATTCTGTATAAGGCCTCTCTGTTTAAAGATCCCCCCCCCCAACCCCTACTGGAAAAGTGATGTCTACTGATTTGCTTATATCAACAGAATAGAGGAAAATGATGAGATTTTCATTCAAGGATTAGTTTACCAGGGTTTATGCCTACAATCTTACTAAGAGACTACAACACCTTCTCTATTCACACCTACGGATAAAGCAAAATTGGAGAGGCCATACATATGGCAAGATGCTGAAAGAAGTTCTTGATACCAACCAATAAGAATGGACTTCCTCCAGGGACTGAGCTCTAACAACTGCTACAGGAGATTGGAAGCAAATTCTTTTTCAGTTTAGCCTTTGGATGAGATCACAGACTCTGGATCAGTAATTTCACTGAAGCCATGTCCTGGCTCTTGCCCCATGGAAACTGGGATGGAGGAGTTATAAATATGTTTTTTAAGCGGATAGGTTTTTCAGTCATTTGACTTGCAACAATAATTAATACAAATCCAAAGAGCTTTGCTTGTTTTTACTTGGACCTTGTTCTTAGGTTCATTTTCAAACTCAGGACTGCAAGTAGGACAAGAACATGTAATCATTTTAAAATGACAAAACCAATCCTTGGGAGATTTATCATTGTAAAAAGTTTAGAGTGGTTTGCAATGATTCTTTAAAAAGACAGTTGTCTAAAAATAGAAACCAGGGGCTTAAAGTTTGAAAATGTGCCCTTGGATGGTGTAAGCTGTTTATCAGATGTTAAATGAGCTTAAAAAACCAGTGATAGAAATCTAACAAGAACAGACAAACTCATGATAAAGTTGTTTGGTATTTAAAAACTTTCTTGTTTTTTTCTAACAATTCTCTTTAATAAATTCCTTAGTATTTTATGATTGGTTTGTTTAATTACAAGTTGTATTTTAAGTAGTGAAAAACACTATTATATTTCCAATAAGACAAACATCCAAAATACATTTTGAGGATACTCCAGAAACAAATAGAAGAATGCAAAGAAGAAATGACAAAGAACATACAGGTGGCCCCCAAAAAATAAGGAGAGAAAAACAGAAATGTTACACACCTCATTAAAAGATGAAATAAATACCATGAGAACTTACCTCAACAAAGAATTTGGAAGCATAAAAGGTTCAATTTCCCTATTAAAAAACCCAGTTGAAAACTTTTGGCCAATCGACTTCAACAAGTCATTAAAAAAATCATACACCAGGATCAAGCAGAATTCATTCCAGGGATGCAAAGCTGGTTCAATATACACAAATCAAATAATGTAATACATCACATCAACAAGAGCAAGGATAAGAATCACATGATTATTTCAATAGATAATGCTCCCCAAACTGTGAAGTTTATTTCCAACATAGTGTCTAGT